TAAATCACAACAAAACTTATGTCGACAACTAGTACGTGATATTTTCCAATGAAAATTGAAATTTTACCCACATAATCTACAATAAAAGTTTGCAGTGAAACTCCAATCCCGATTTAAAAACAATACAAACGACTATGGAACTGTACATAAATTCCAAGTAAAACTAGAATTATAATTAGAAAACAATACAACCAAGACCTAGAAACTATATAAATTTTGTCCGTAACTTAAGATTGGCAATTAAAGCATTTGATACTTGTATGATTCATTGGATATTTAAGAACAAGTATAACGAAGGCATAGGATTGTTATTATATCCTATTCGTAAATATTTTTGCAGTACATTATGGGATAATATATTTCCATAAAGCATGTGTCATTGAGTGAAGCAAGAAGAAAACAAAAGTCCATTCCATTGCACTAAGTGTGCAAAAGACGAAACCTACATCATCATCCTCAAAAGCCTTAAAGGCAGAAGAAACGTCCGATGATATATTGCCACATTAGTATTTTAGAATAATGATGTGATCGACAATAAAGAAATAATTGGTCTCGAAGTACCATATCTTAGTGCTATAAGAGCACTAATGTACCCTGCTAATTATACATGACCTGATATAGCATTTGCTGTTAATTTGTTAGCAAGATATAGTTCTTCACCTACACAAAGACATTGGAATGGAGTTAAAGAAATCCTTCGTTATCTTAGAGGTACAATGGATATGGGGTTATTATATTAAAATGTTCCCAAACCAGAACTAAATGGTTATGCAGACGCAGGTTATTTGTCAGATCCTCATAATGGTAAATAACAAACAGAATATTTGTTTATGTGGTATAGCCATTTCATGGCGATCTGTAAAACAAACCATATCAGCCACTTCATTTAATCATGCTGAAATTTTAGCATTACATGGGGCAAGTCGTGGATATTTTTGGCTAAGATTTGTGATTCAACACATATGGGAAACTTGTGGTTTATCTTATAGAAAAATGGCATCGACAGTTATATATGAAGATAATGCTACATGTATTGTACAATTGAAAGATGGATACATAAAGGGAGATAGAACAAAGCATATTTTACCTAAATTCTTTTTTACTCATGATCTTCAAAGGAATGGTGATATAAATGTTCAACAAGTCCGCTCAAGTGACAACTTAGCAGATCTCTTTATAAAGTCACTTCCAAGAAAAGTTTTTGAACAATTGATACACAAGATTGGACTCCATCGTCTTAAAGATTGTATGCATGAGGGGGAGAAATAAATATTTATGAATGATGTACTCTTTTTCCTTCACTAGGTTTTTATCCCACAGGGTTTTTCCTAGTAAGGTTTTAACGAGGCACATTCTAAATATTGGACATCCAAGGAAGAGTGTTATGAATAATAATTAGTGGCTTAATTAGTGGATGCCAATATTCATTATCAATCATTACCATTTATATTTTCGTTATGTATTATTTCCTTTATTGTGTAATTGGTCAGTTACCACATGTACTTATAAATAGGTTAGTCCTCTCCCAAAGATAATACATCAGTCAGAATCTTTTCTCTATCTCATACTGTCTTATTTCTTCTCTCTACTTTTTTTTTTCTTTTATAACAATTTTAATATTTTCTTATCTTTTTCTTTTTTCTCTCATTCTATTTTCTTTTATATGTTCTCACTTAAATATCTTTTATTATTGTAATTGTATTTTCTTTTTATTTGGTAGTAACAGAATACCTTCTTTATTTTTTAGAGCATTGAGTTTACTCGGCTTTTTCTTTTCATTTACAATTTTATTATTTAAATATCTTTTTTCTTTTTATCTAATAGTAATTGACTATCTCTTTTCTTTTTCAGAGGTGTTTCTTTTATTCTCTTTTCATTTTTATCTAATAATAATTGACTATCTCTCTTCTCTTTTTTTTTTTTGTAGAAGAAGAGTCTAAGAATTCTCGTTGTTCAGACGCACAAAAATACAAAATTGATCAATTAATAAAGAGAAAAATAATTATAATATTAAATTTAACATAATAAAAATACAATATACATATTAATAGATAATATATTTTTTATTTAAATAAAATATATATAGAGATATGGAGTTCTTTGTCTCTAATATATATATATATATATATATATATATATATATATTAAGTTAATCATTATTTTTCCAAAAAAAAAAGTTAATCATTATTTTTAGAGTTATCAAAGTAGTTCGTCTCTATCAACTTATTCCACCATAAGTTTCATAAAATGTAGAGTAATTAAATATGATTCACTTTTTGTTAAATCTAAAAGATAAGTGTAGTCCAACCCACCAAAGATTGGTGGATCAAATTAGTTGGTCCACTTAAATGAAAAAATAAAGAATAAACAAATTAAGTTTAATAAAAATTTATCCCTTGTTATCTTATAGCTTAAAATTACAAATGTAAAAAAATGTAAAAACAAAAAAGTATAAACCACAATCAACTTAATCAATTATGATAAAAGTAAAAAATAAAAATAAAATTAGTGACATAAGATGTTAACAAACAATATTAAATTGACACTAATTATTATAACTCATAATTAAAGTGAATAAATTTTAGTTGGTGATATAAATGTATAATTATATAAACTAAAGTTTAAGGATAAAAAGATATTGAACTAAATGAACCAACTCAACTCACTATAAACTTATGCTGAGCGAGGTTGTAAGTAAGTTAAACCATTTTTTTTCTTATAATCAAAATAGGAAAAAAAAAAAGGACCAACCTATTAGTGGTGAGATGAATTCACTAGTATAAAAAGGGTAATTTACGTCGCTTATTTTAAGTTTTTTACGTCAGAAACAGGTCCGACGTAAATGCGGGAGACATAAATTTACGTCGGCTGTGATAGCCGACATAAATTTACATCGAAAATTCACAAGAGCCGACGTAAAAAAGTTAGAAACAAAAAAAAAAATAGCAAGCAGAACGGGCCGTTCTCCAAGCAGAACGGGCCGTTCTGCTTGTAGAATGGGCAGTTCTGCTTGGAGAACGGCCCGTGCTGCTTGGAGAACGACCCGTTCTACTACAGATCCACCCACTCCCACCCACGCGCAAAGCATTTTCTACCTGTATTAGCAAACGATGATTCAGCCAAACGCGAAGAAGATGATAATATTAACTAGTATATTAATAGATAAATACATACATTTATTTTCAACATATAAGCTAATATATTAAGAAAGGATTTTCCAAACTAACCTCAAACGCGAGCCCAATGCAATCGGTCAAAAACTCAAGAATTACCCAAATGTACAAACATACACTCAGATGCAATACACTCAAACGAAATCTTAACTCAGAAAACTCGAATGACACTTACACTCAAAGCTCTCTTGTTTAAATATTGACGCGCGCGAATACAGTTTGAAATTTGTAAATATTTGACGTCGGACCTCGTAGGGGCCGACGTAAAAAAGTTGGACTTAATTACAAAAATGCCACTGCATTTTTTTAATGTCGGATTTTTCTTTGTCCGACGAGAATACAGTGACGTAAATTACCCTTTTTCTACTAGTGATTAGTCCACAAATTTTGTGACTAATTATTTTTAAGAAATCAAGAAAATTTTATTTTCTCAAAAGAAATAGGAAAGGAATAAGATAATTAAAATCATATGAGATAAAATAATTTAAATTAAATAAAAGATAAAAGAATTTAAATCAATATGAAAATTAAAAGATATGAAAGATAATCTATTCTAAACAAATAAAAAGAAATCCATGAGATGGATAAAATAGTTTAAATAAATGAAGGAGCCAATAAAATTACAAAGAATCGTCAAAGAGGTTAAAAGAATTTAGAAATTGAGTAATTAGGTTAAAGATTTTTCCTGGTGCCTGACATCTCTTTATTGGGTGCAACCATGCGACTAAAATTTGGAAAGCTTGTAATCTAGCGGAGAAAGTTTCTGATAGAATGAAAGGGGCAGAGGGTTAATTTAAAGGAGCTCATGCTAGGTGCCCTCAAGAGTTGGGATACTAGCAAGGTAACTGAGTTTGCTATGATGTTATGGAAGTTTCAAAGTATTATAGCCTTAGTAGTTTTTTAGGGTCGTTAACAAGCTACTACATTAGCTTTGTTCCTAGATTAGCAAATTGTGACTCATAAATTAGCAAGGGTTGCTGAATTAGATGCTATTGACTATGGTCATATACTATCTTGTATAATTCAACAGATTTTATGTGAAATGAAGTAAATCTGTTCTTATAAAAAAATGAGTAGATATAATTTTTAAATATTAATTAATTAGATGAGAAATAATTTAGTAAAAAATGATAATTTAAAAATGTAAGGATAATTTTAAAAAATTATTAATAAATATAATGTCATTAAACTAAATTAACAATCTTTCTTATTTTAAAAAAATATTATATTCTATTAAAGATGAGTAAATGACCAAATTCACGTGATATCTAACTCAACCTTTTTTAAAAAAAAAATTAGAATTCAAATTTTTTAGATAATAAAAATATAATTATACTCATTAAATATAACCAACTAGGTTATCGCACAATATTAGAGAGGTGGTGTAATTAATAATTTAATGTTGTTATCTTCTTTTTTCTTCTTTTTTTTTTCTTCCAGTGTTCCGCCACCGTTTGGGATCATCATAGAAGTAATAGTCAAATGAATGCATTTTTATGTTGTACTTAATTTTGTATTGACGTGCAAACTGCAAAGTAACAAGTGGTCAAATTACACATCAAACAAGGATCATATAACCTGATACGGATTTTCATTTGTTCGTGCGTTGTATTCCTCAAATTTGTTCTCTTTCGTGCCAACTGAATCAACAAAATTTCAATTCACATATCTCCCTGATTCATATATATATATCAATACTCACGTACTCAAATGGATCACACACAATCCAACAGAATCAAGTTTGGTCAACAAAGATTAGAGCCTCATTAATATATTATTCCATAGACATATCTCAAACTTTAATTATAGTTTGATTTTCCCAAAACCATGGCTACTAGAGGCTTCAAAATTTGCTTGGTTGTGTCACTACTCTTCTTGGTCACTGTTACCATTCTTATTGTGAGTTTATCTTTCACCATCTTTAAACCCAAAAACCCTGACATCACTGTCCACCCTCTTGGCCTTGAAAACTTTGACATTTCCCTTTTACCCAATTTGACCATAAACGTGAGTGTAGGCATGGTAATCACTATCCAGAATCCAAATTATGGAAGCTTCGAGTTCACAAATTCCACAGGTTATGTCAATTTTCATGATACCGTAATAGCCGAAGTTCCAATAGATGCAGAGTTAGTCCCTGCACGTAGCCAAATTAATGTGAGCACTTCAGCAGATTTTATGGTAGCAAAGTTGGTCAATGATCCAAGTTTTTGGTCAGATGTTGTACATGGAACTTTGATTTTCACATCAACAGCTACACTACCTGGGAAAGCGCGTATGTTCAACATTATCAAATTAAAGGCCACGGCTTATAGCTTGTGTGACATCTCTTTTAACATAAGCTCTAAGGACGTTGATACCAATTGCATATCCAAAGTCAAGCTTTAATTTTATTCACATGTTTATACGGGGAAGTAATATATTGGAGTATGTAATATGCGATTACCATATACAAGGATTGAGTTGTTCTTGAAAATTTCACGAGAAAAATCTAAGCTATATATATTAATTTCGGGACTTCGACACACTTGTGATGCATTACGGCACTAATCATGGATGCAGAAGCATGGATTATATATGTTGCACATGGTTAGGCTAAGACACGTTAATTCATAGAACCTTCCCCACTTTGTCTTCAGTTACCTACCACAGTTACAAACATTAATTAGCGGGATGCATTAGATATACTTGGATTAAAAAAATAGAGTACTAGTATATAGAATGAAGAAATAATAAGCAAAGAGAAAAGAGATGTGGTCCAAATTCCGAAGCTTAAGTTTCCCTTTCGCCGTCCAGAAAGATACGTGATATGTTAGATTGGATATTGTGCTCAATAATTATATTCTTAAAAATGTTTTCAAGTTTATGCAGAGGTTGTTAGTTGCCGGCCATTTTCATATACAATCACAGAGAATGTCAGC